TCCAAATCTATTATCAAATTTGTCCTAATCATGTTTCATCCTAAACAGTGAGGTTAACTTGCTCAAACATGCATGAAAATAGTACAGATGGATAGATTGGATTTTTCTAATCATTTTTCATATATAATTTATTTCGTTTGGAGCTATAGATTAATTTCTATGATTTTGAAAGTTTTGGATATTTTCTGAATTAAACAAATCATTTAAGATTTATTTAAATTCCAGAAAAGGATTACTGCGTCAGCTTGACATCATCATGACGTCAGCAGGTCAATGGGGCACGGTCCAGGTCAAACCTGACCAGTGGGACCCATTGGTCAGTGACCCTGAGACACTTAGTGTCACAGACAGGTGGGTCTCGTCAATGGCCACGTCAGCGAGGTCAACGCCGACGCGTGGGGCCACTATGTTTAGATTAAACTTAAACTATTTGTGTTAGCGGGTTAGTTAGGCAGTGGGGCCCGCATGCCAGCGAGCCAGAGGGTTAGTTAGTGGGTCATTAGCCACGAATGTCGTTGCCACGTCAGTACGCCGGAGTTGAACGCCGGCGACCAAACCCGACGGCGGAGGATCGCCGGAGTTGCTCGGGATGGCGATACAGGGGTCGGCTCGACGCGCTGGAGGCGCCAGAGCAATGCCCATCCTCGCACGCATCTAGGGGACCATGCGGGAGGCTGTAGGGTGGCCGGAGACGATGGCCACGGCAACCATGGCGGTGGCCGGAGCTCGGCTAGATGCAGGCGGGGGGCTGAAGTGCGCTAGGGGAGGATCTAATGAGCTAGGTGGCATCCACGGGCCACCAGAAGCATGCTGGTGCCACGGGTTCGAGCGGAGGGGCTCAGGTCAAGAAAGCTAGGCGGCCATGGCGGATGGCGGTGCTTGGGCATGTGGGCGAGGGTACTACGGCACGGGAACGAGCAAAATGAACGAGGGGAAATGGAGTGGAGCTCACTGCGTGGTCGTTGGCGGTCTCATTGGACTCAGGGAGGCCTCTGCGGCGGCGAATTCGACGATGGCGTCCGGTGGCCGAGGCGGCGAGGAAGATGACTCGCGACGCTGGAGGGCCTCCGGCCTTTCTTGGTGCGATGAGGAGGTGCAGCAAGATACGGACGATCTCGGGAGCACAGTGGCGCGTCATTTTGTCATCGGTGGCCATGCGGGCGAGGCACGGCGGCCGGCGGAAGCTCTCGGTGATGCTTGGAGGAGGGGTTAGAGGGCGAGGGAGAAGCAGAGAGTGAGGGGAAGTGATAGGATGGCCTCGTGCGTCTCTAGACACGGATTAGGACGAAGGAGCGGCCTCCAGCGCGAAGCAGGAGGTGGAGGGCTCCGCGGGTACGCGCGCATGTTCTCTCCTGCCTACTGGCAGGAGGAAGACGATGAGTGAGGAGGTAAGTGGGCTGGGCCGGCTTCTCTCCTGGGCCAGGTGGGTGGGCTGCTCAGGTGAGCTCATGTTTCCTTTTTGTTTCTGTTGTTTTCTATTATTTAATCTTTCGCCACTGTTTTGAATTCAAACAGATTTCAAACAATGCCAAAACATCCTCTCGGTATTTTCATGTTGCTTCCTGGACTTTTCCAGAGGCACATAAATTATCACAGAGCATTTGAAGATATATCCCATATATATTTGAATATATTTTCAAATTCAAATAGAATATTGTCTTAAATTCAGAGACCAAATGATTCCTTAAAAATGTTCCAAAATTTTGGTTTGTTCAGCAGCGCACATTACCATTGGGCCCACCAGTCAGCGCGTATATCAAGGACATAAATGGTAATAAATTAGTGGTTGGTTGGTACTCGAAGTCATGAGACCTCTGGTTGGCAGTCGCCGGCGGTGGGGGCGCGTTAATTGGGCGGTG